TTTCTTTACTATGTAAAAATCCAATCTACCATGCAGATCATATGAAAAATGATCTACGTACACCCTACCCTTAATTATTTTATTAAAGAATATAATCAAGCAAAACTAATAAAAAAAGATATACAAGTTTTAATTAGTTTTAAAAATAATTAAAGGTTTCTTGAAAGGTAATTATAAATAAAATTTTAAACTAATATATATATTAACTAACTAATTTATTAATTAATAGAAAGATTCAGATTCTGATACTGAAATTAATTATATAAAGAAATTTAAACAAAATATTAATTTCAAACTAAAGAAAACAGATTATGAAGCTGATAAAAACAAGTTAAAAATAGCAACAATTATTTCTACTATTCATAGAAGACAACAATATGATTAATATCAAGAACCTTGTTAGCCAACTAAAAATAAATATATTAAACTTAACAGAAATCATTATTTGATATAGGTTTACTTAGTAGTAAGTTTTTATTATTATAATAAACTATTTTAAAATAATTACTAAATAAATTATATATTTTATAGATGAATAGTATAGCAACTATTGAATCTCTATCACTACATGCAATTTTTAAAATTTTTCTAAAACCACATGATTTATAGACAGAAATTCTATTTTACAAAATCTATATTTTATTTCTTTTTTACTTTTATCTCTGAATTATTATTCAACAAATCAATTTTTAGAATTTAATACAAATAATTTATTGCAATCTAATACTATTCTAATGATGATAAACAAATCCTATCACTTGAAAAATTTTTATAATAAGTAGATATAGAAGAAAAGCTGAAGACAAAATTCTAGAATAATTAAATAATTTTAAAACTAAAACAATAAATATAAAACATATATCTTATTTATCAAGTACTCAATTTTTAATATTTGGTATTTAAAAGGTGGGTTGGCAAATATCATTAAGAAAATTAGCAAAAAAGTATTGTTAATTATATAGATAATGCCAAATATTAATGCTAAAATATTTGCCATTAATAAAATTTATACTTTTTTATATATTATAAATATTCTAAAGGATTATATTATATGCAGCTCTGTTAGTATTTTAATTTTGTATTATTAGAACAATATACAATATACTGCTTATTGTATAATAAATGTAATAGTATTGCTTTTACTTGTCTTTAAAAAAATGCTTTGTGAATATTACTGTAAATCTCGAGAAATAAGCACAATACCCTTTACTCTACTTTTTTCAATCTCAGATTAGCGAAAATAACTTCAGTAAAGATTTTATTTTTATTTTATTAATCTGATATTAAAAAAGTAAAGTAAAGAATATTATGCTTATTTTTCAAGGTTTATAGTAACTAAAGAAAAAACATATTATTTAAATTTTTGAAACTCTAGTTTATTTATAAAATATTTTTGTTCATTAATAGGTAGTTAGCACTCTTCTATATATAGCATGAGATAAATCCTAACCTGCTTTATAAAATTTAATAAAGTTTTGCTTCAACAGTTTAATGTTTGTAACTAGAGTTTTACAAATCTAGTATATACTAGTATAAAAAAAATTTAATAACCTGAGTATGAGCATGACTTAAATAGGAACTTATATAGGCATTGATACTAGCATTATTATTAATACTAGTGCTTATAATGATGCTAATAGTGCTAGTATTTTATTTTTTATCTAAATATATTATACACTATGAAAGGATAGATTGTGACTTGAAATAAATTTTTCACAATATATAGATCAAGTGCATATATATTTGGTTTAATGAATTTGGTAAATTTGGCATATTTATTAATAGTACATATAGCATCTAGTGAATATATTGAATATATGTAGTAAATATATTCAATATACTTAATAGATAATATAGTTAATTTATAAATAATAGCAGAATCTATCCCATTCCTAAACGCAATACCTTTGATAGCAACCTCAATCTTACTCGACCAATTAGCCTTGTTGAACATATTCAGAAGGTTTATACTAAAATTATTACCAACAGACTTAATTCAATATTTCAACAACATCCTATCTTATCACCTTTTAATTATATTGCCTTACCCAGAAACTCTACTGCTACTCCTATACATATTCTCAACAATCTCATCGAAGATGCTTCTTGCAATCATAAGGATATATGGCTTCTGTCTCAAGATATGAGCAAGACCTATGATTCTGTTAATTTCTTCTTACTTCAGCATTCACTAGTTCGACTTGCTTTACCAACTACTATTATCAAGACTATCATTAATATCTTTTCAGATTGCCACAAC